GGCCCCGCCCGCGGCCCCACCTTGCAGTGGTCCCGCCCGCCCGCGCCCCCACCTTGCACTGGCACTGCCCACTGGTCTTGTTGCAGTCCGGGTCGAAGCCTTGGCTGACGGCGCAGTGGCAGGGGCCGCAGACAGGGCTCCCCCACCAGCCTTTGGGGCACGGGAGGTCCACTCTGTTGGGGAAATGAAGCGGCCATTGGCGAGGTTATGCTGATGTCTTTTTCAGAACAGAAGGGAGCCTCGTGGGTCCTAGGCAGCACAGAAGCATCTGCCGGGACCCGCGACTGGGCCCACTGACCGTCCCAAGCTCCCCTAGGGCCCCCGAGAAGTTAGCGCCCCCTCCCAGCCCTCTAGGGAGACCCCTGCAAAAGTGCTGTTTTAAAATAACGTGTTTTCTCGCGTCTTTTTCTTCTACCTCAAAGACACACACAGAACCACACACAGCCTCGGGTCGTACCACACTGCACGTGCGGCACGCAGGGTGGCATCTGTGTTCACAACAGTGTGCAGCACCCGCCCAACGCCAGGCTCACGAGGGCTCGGTGACGACCGGGCCCCAGTGACCAGGCCGGCTCCCCAGAGATGACTGAGCCCAGCTGCTCAGGGTGACCTTCTCACAGGGGATTGGACGCCCGCCTGGGGGGATGCCGCCTGCCCACGTCGGGGAGCCTGCTGGGACGTTCCCTCCAATTCCCAAACAAGGTGGTTTCTGCAGCATCTTTCTTGCTCCCAGTAGTCCGGTCTATCGCTGCCTTCCGCCCCCATGGACGGTCTGAGCAGCCTTTCCACGGACGTGATTGACCTCAAATCAGCAAACTCAAGAATTGCGTGGGGAAGGTCTAACCGTGGGCCCAGTGTCCTGCACGACACAGTGGACTCAGAGGGTGTCAGGTCCAGTCCTGTCCTGAAGCCCTGCAGGCAGATACCGGGAGACGAGGCGGCGAGGAGGCTGGCCCACCCCTACCAGGTGCTGTGTTCTATCTCTGTCCCCGGCCCCCCTCGCTCACCTCAGCGATCACTGCAGGCCCACCTTCCCGCCAATGCCCCCCAAACAAAACCACGCCCTGCGCTTACTGTCCTGCTAATGGCCTTCCCATCTGCCAGGGAACGCAGCGGTCACCTCTCCTACTCACTCGCTCCCATGAAAAGCCATTATTAAGTGCTGACTGTGTAGACGCCTCAGGCATACAAACCACCAGAGCAGGGCACCTGAGCCCAAGGCGGTCAGGTCAGTATTTGTGGATCTGTGTTTACAGAGCAGGGACCCCAGAGGCTTCGCGTGTCCCCCTCCCCTCATCCCTCCACAGCCTTGGTGTGCATCTGGAACGCCTCCCAGCTGGTCCCCCAGCCTCTGGCTTCTGCCTGCGCCAAATTGTGCTCCCCACAGCGGCCAGTGGGCCCTCAAAGACCAGATCCAATTTCACCACTTTCCTGCTGGCCCTCACAGCCTCCACAAGGCTAAGCTCTGCCTCCCTGTCTCCCAGCTCAGGACACACCACAGCAGCAGCACTGGCCCTGCCCAGCGGGACTGAGCCCACAGAGTTCTTTAAACCAGCCTGTGCCATTGCTCCTTGCTGGCTCAGCCCCCACCAGCTTTCCACGCGGAATGCCCTCCCTCTACAGCCTCCCTGGCTCCCACCTCCCCCTGCACTCCCAGGGTGCTTCCTCCAAGCTGTCCCTGGATGCATCCCTCCCTGACCTGGGATGGGACTGCACCACACCCTGAGGGCATGGGGGCAGGGATGGTGGCCCCGTCCCGGTCTAGAATGAGCAGAGGAGAAGCAGGGCAAGGCTTCTCTCCACACGGGGCAGGGCCGGCTCTACGTGCTCCACCTTCCCCAGTGTTGGGCACCATGGTGGCCATAAGAAGCTACGGGAGATGTGCAATCCATAACGTCACCTCCGAAGGCCCCTAGTCTGGGCTCGTGAAGACCCGAGAGGCCTCACCTGGGAGAACCACACACCTGAACTCTGCGGGCAGTGCTCTCAGAGGGCACGCTCGGATCCCGGGCACACTCGGATCCCAGGCACACACGGCTGCCCCACCAGGACTCCAGCAGGATCACTGACCCGCCAGGGCTCACATCCACCCTACTGACCGAGTACTTCCTACACAGGACCTTCACCTCCCTGTAGTCCCGCTGCCCCCTGCTATGTCGTATGCTGCTGGGGTGATACGTGATCAAACGGGCTTGGTGTGACGCCCAGTTTGATTCTCATTGACCGCACGTCAAATCGGAAAACAAATAAAAAATGTTCTTGTTACTCAGAATGACACGTTCCTTGGGGCAAAGGTAGCACAGGGCCCCTCCGGAGGAGCAGAAGTTAACCAGGCACCCGGAGGAAGGTGCCGGAACCACGCGCTCACCTGTTCTCGCAGTACTGCCCATAGTGGCTGGGGCCACACTCGCACTCGTAGCCCCGGGGGGAGCTAGGCGCATGCACGCAGGCCGCCACGTGCTCGCAGGGGTTCAGGTGGCACGCATCCACACACTTCTGTCCAAAGTACCCTGAGGAGACAAGGGCTGCGTTACCTCAGCACTGTGGGTCCACGTCACGGAGCGAGACCCTCGTGTTAGGATGCTGTGATCACCCCAGGGCTTCCCTGGGCCTTGACTGTCCCGCTACTTAGTGGAGGAAAGGGGCAGGGCCACCCCGAAGTCATAGAGAGCACAAACAGCAGGCGGCTGCACCTGGAAACGCAGGGACGAAGGCCCCCAAGGCCGCCTGGGGAGGGCGAGGGCTGGGGGAGAGGGACACGCCATCTTGGGGCTCAGGGCTCATCTGCTTTTGCTGCCCCAGGAAGTGGGGGGCCCAGGGAGGTGGGGACCCAACCATCCTAGGGCTCAGGGCCTGTCTGCTGCCGCCACCCGAGGCAGTGTGGGAGCTGGGGGAGAAGGGGGCTGGCCAGCTCAGGACACAAGGCTGATGGGTACCTGCTGACTATGATTTCAGCACCTCAAAAATTCAGGGTGACCACCGAAGGTGTGATTTTTGCACGTGTACTTTCCACTCCTTCTAACCCTGACCTCACTGTGTGCTGATCACCTCACAGGATTAGTTTTCTTGAAGACTTAGGGTCACAATCTCACAGGACAACTTGGTCAACTGACATAATATAATTCACAGAGTTTATGTGTTACATTCTAGTCTGGTGAGTAGCTTCTGAGGTCTTAAAAGCTTTCGAGCTGCCATCTAAGACACAGCTTGTCTGGAGCAAAAGAGAAAGAAGGAAACCCAAGATTCAGAGAAAGAACCCGTCTACAGGACCAGTTGTCTTCCTAAACCACAACCCTCATCTACCTTGAGACAAGAAGAACTAAATGGTGCCTGGCTAGCACTACTGAACATTCTGATCAGGGACACATTAGATGGATCTTGATGGAAAGAGAGACATACGTGGAACACAATTTCAAATTCTCCAAAAATCCAGGTTTACTCGGCCCATTGAGACTGGAGGAATCCCTAAGACCCCTGCCCTGAGATGCTCCTTAAACTCTGAACGGAAACTATCCCCTGAAGTCACCTTTTAGCTAAATAGCAGGTTAGCTCATAAAGTAAAGAATATTAACCTTGAGTACTGCACTCTTTTAAAACATCATCTGTATGAGACCAAATGGTCAACAATTACTTTAAAGCAAAGATGAGAAGGTTGGGGGGCAGTAAGAAGAGGTTAATGGGAGTGAAACTACTGGAAGGGAAATGAGGAGCATGTTGATACAATGTAAAGAATGTAACCAATGTCACTGAACACTATGTGTAGAAACTGTTAAATAGGAACCTGTTTCGCTGTGTATACTTCCACCGAAAATACAATAAAATACTATTTTTTTTTTAAAAGAATGAAGTCTGAAGTGTCTGCTGGACGCCAATAAAGAGACAAAGAAACACGTTTGAAAGTGTAGAGAGGGTAGCTTCTTTGTTGCCAAGCCCTGGGCTCCGGCCACCCACAGATGCCCAGACTCAGTCCCCTCTTGGTTTCTAAAACCTAAGGCGCACTCCCCACAGACAGGTATGAGGTGGAGGCTAGCAGTGCCCGCCATGTGGCGCCCACCTCTGTCACAGACACAGGAGTAGCTGTCCCAGGCGTCACGGCAGCGGCTGTGTGGGGGACAGGGACTTGAGGCACAGGGGTTCTCCAGCTCACAGCCATCCTTCACCCTGACCTTGAGGGCATCGTCCATGTTCAGGGTGGCAATGTTCGTGGATGTCTCCCCCATCCTCACTCCCTGGGTCAGAGAGAGATGGTCAGAGGAACCCGGAGGAGGCTCGGGAGGTCAGTGGAGGGTAGGGCAACCCAACTTCTCCCCAGACTCCTGTGGAGTATCTTATCTACAAAGTGGGGATGGCGGAGCTGCTGGGGTGGGACGAGCGGAGAGCTGGGGACACAGCAGGACGGTCACCCCGTCCTCGTCAGGTATACGCTCCAGGCAGGGATGGAGGCCGATCGCGGGGACACAAAGCCATAGTGATTCCGTATGAAGAAACACATGAACGAGGGAGCCGGAAAGAGAGGGTAGTGATGAGGGGTAGGGGGTGGGCAGCTCCACGGGCTTCAGGGCGGCTGGGCGGAGGGGGTCCCAGGCAGGGGGATTCCAGGCATGGCACATGTAGGGGCTGCACTGGGAGTTCAAGTACAGGCGGCCCACGTGACTGAAGCATTGCGGAAGGGGCAACAGCGGGCTCACACAAGACCAGGTCAGCTGGGTGCGGTGGGTGGAGTGAGGAACAGAAGCTGAGCGAGGCCAGAGCAGGGCACAGGAGCGGAGCCCTTTTTAAGCAGCTCACTCGCTGCTACCAGAACACTGGGGACAACTTCTGGCTGGACAGGGTCGGGGGGTGGAGGCAGTGAGGGGCTGGGTTCAGGACATACCATGACAGCAGAGGGGGCCGGATGATGGGGGTATGAGGGGAGGAAGTAGGGGAGCCCTGACCCAGAGGGGATCCTGGGGCAAGACATGTCTGAGTTTGAAATCACGATGTCTGTTTTCAGAGTGTTAAGTTCGCGATGCCTATTAGGGAAGTTATTTATTAAAAACGAATTCTGAAAACTAGCAGGTTGACCAATGGCACCAGTGCGGTGCTGGCGGCCCCCTCCCAGCCCAGCAGTGGTGGTGGGGGGGGGCCTCTGCCCTCTTCGTACCTGCATGCAGCCCCGGAAACCTCGGCGCACAGACACCTTGTCTTCAGACATACCCCCGACGACGATGCTTCTCATCTTTAGGCCGGGGAGCTGGTTCCCGATCTGCACTGCGCTCTGTGCAGAGAGGAAATGTCACTTCCCTGCGGCAAACTCCCCGGGGAGGCCAGGCCAGGCCACGCACAGCCTTGTGGTGAGAACGCGGCTGCCACGTGACGCCAGGGCATGAGGCCAGGCTCAGGACACGCGTCAGCACCCAGCCCAGCTGGCCAGCGTGGGGAGTGTGGGTGACGCTCCCCACCCTGTAGCCCCCTGAGCACTACAGAGTCCCTTGTGACGCAGGGCTCAGCAAACTATGAAGACCACAGAGAACAGAAACTGCGTCTGCTATCGCGAGAATTTCAGGAAGTCTCCGCCAGCTCCTGCACCTGGAATACTGCAGGTGTTTACCTTCAGAACGGTGGGGTAAGGTGGGCCTAGAATGCAGGAGCACTTCAGAATCACGAGTAGCCCCTTAAGTGTCTGAGTATCTCATACAAAATGCCTCGTGTTGCCAGCTGCGAGCTACGGGATCCAGTTTGGTTCGGCAAATGTCCCGTGAGTGCTCTGCTTGGAACGCCACTTGGTCCACCTGGGCAGGTGCACCTCTCTGATACCTGGGCCTCGTTGCTCACCTGCCTTCACTCACTGTCCACTCTAAGGGCAGGGACCCTGACCTTGTCAATCTTTGTATCCCCAGAGGCACAGGGCCGAGTACACGTCGTTCAGTGCAGCGTCGCTAAATGGTACTGCTGCTGACGGCACTAACGGAGTGTGCCAGGCATGAGTGAGGACAGACGGACAAGGTCCAGTCCTGACTGCAGGAGGATGGGGTGTAAGACGCAAGCGCTGGGGACCCCAGCATGAGGCGGAACCCAGGATCCAAGCTCAGGGGGCCCAAAAGTGTTCCCCCAAATCCACAAGGCCTCTGGCAGATCTTAGCACATTAAGAGTGTTATGAATTGAATTGTGTCCCCCAAAAACACAGATTCAACTCGTAACCCACAATATTTGTGAACGTGACCTTGTTTGGAAATGAGGTCTTTGAAGATATCAGTTCACATGAGGTCATACTGGAGTAGGGTCCTGATCTCATCTGAGTGGGAGACAGAGGGAAGATGGCCATGTGAAGATGCTTCAAGGATGCCTGGGGCTACGAGAAGCTGGGAGAGATGAGGAAGCATCCTCCTCCAGGGCCTTTGAAGAGAGCATGGCCCTGCCAACACCCTGAATCTGGACTCCTAGACTCCAGAACTGTGAGAGAATAAATTTCTGTTCTTCTAAGCCCCCCATTCTGAGGTGCCTTGGCACGGCAGCCCTAGGAAGTGAATACAAGGGGCCAGTCTGTTTTCACATGACAAAGAAGAGGTCTGCTCTGAAGCGGGTGCAGGTGACCACTCACCTGGTCCAACCCGTAGTCCAAAGTCATGACCGCCAGGTACTTGATGTCCTTGCCCTCCTTGGCGCTCTTCAGTTCTATCAACAGGTGATGCCACTCCCCGTCAGTCACACGTGATCTGGACAGCATCATGGATGCCACCTCAGAGGGGCCGTGGGACACCTCAAACTGGATGTAATTATCCAGGATCTGTAGGAAAGGAGAACCACACCTACCGACTGAGCCAGTGATGGCAAAATAGACGATACTCTGCAGTTGCTTAAAACACGAAGAAACACAAACAGACTTGCTATGGCCCTGGATCAAAAATGGGACTTAAACATTAAACAAAGTTTTAATTTGTTGTTACCTTTAACACGCTTCAGAACTGTATGTCTTTTTCTACGGTAAAAAATGTCAAATATTTGACAGACATTAAGTAAGATGAGGATGGAGAACAAGCCCATTAAACTTAAAGATTAGGATCCATCACAGATTTAGGTGACTATCGAGCACTTACGTTTGGATGTAAACGCTACACTTTATGAGACGAGATTTTTAAGTACATGTAAGAAAAAACTTGAAACCAGCATCGTAACTGGCCTAAGATGCTCGTGTTTGAAGATGATGTGGTCAGAGGCAACGCCAATGAAACCAAAAACACAAACCAAACCCATTGTCGTCGAGTCAGTTTCAACTCATAGTGACCCTATAGGACAGAGCAGAACTGCCCCATAGGGGTTTCCAAGCAGCAGCTGGTGGATTCGAACTGCCAACCTTTTGGTTAGCAGCTGAGCTCTTAACTACTGCACCACCAGGGCTCCAGTGCCAATGAAGGAATGGATAACTGGCTCAATCCTCCTCCTGAGGATACCTAGAAAAATGAGATGAAACATTAAAGAACATCTGTTTGAAGGTGTCAGAGAGACAAAAGGCACTGTGGAGTTACAGGGAAATGACTTGGAGAAGAAGGAAATCCACAGAGGTGACAGGTGTTTGCTTTCCCCTGTGGCTGTCAGATAGGCATCTCTGGGTGGCGCAAAGGTTAAGCATTCAACTACTAACTGAAAGGTTGGCAGTTCGAACCTGCTCAGAGGTGCCTTGGAAGAAAGGACTGGCAATCTGCTTCCAAAAGGTTGTAGCCTTGAAAACTCTATGGAGAACAGTTCTATTCTGCACACATGGGTTCCATGAGTTGGAACTGACTCGACGGCAACTGGTTTTTTGCTTTTAAGGTAGTCACCTGTTCTACAAGATGCAGCCGAGGCTGAAAAGTTGAAAAAGCTTTCTAGGATCAGGGGTAGGGGTGATAAAAATGGTAGTTCAGGGCCTGCCAAGGATAGGGGGCAAGATACCTTCTTTGGTCTGAGACCCTGGAAGTCTACACACTAGAAGTACACAGGAATCAGACCAGCCCTTGCAGGAATGAAAGCCCAGTTGTCAGTCAGCTCAGACCATGACTGTATTAAAGTGGTCTGGAATGGCTAGTTCGCCTGGCTGCCTGCCAGAAGGAAACACCTTTGTGTTATCTGCAGGATGACACAGCCACTGTAGCTTCAAATTCTCTCTACAGTTCTTCAATGCAATGTCCAGCACTCAATCAGAAATAACCAAGTACATAAGGAGTGAAAACCAAGAGAAACAAAAGGCAGTAGAAACAGACCCACAGGGAATCCAGTTAATACAATCGTCAGAGACAGACTTGGACATAACAATGGGAACCACAGAACATTAAAGAAAACAGAGTCAGGTGGCAATTTGACCATGTTTAAATGCATGTATGGAATAATAATTTAAAAAAAGCACTGTAACTAACCTATGTACTCACATTTTAAGATCACCTCAATTAAAAGGCAAGGAGCCCTGGTGGCACAGTGGTTAAAGTACTTGGCTGCTAACTGAAAGGTCACCAGTTCTAATCCACACCTCAGGAGAAACTTTTGGCAGTCTGCTTCCGTACAGATTTACAGCCTTAGAAAACCTATGGGGCAGTTCTCCTCTGTCTTATAGGGTCACTATGAGTTGGAATTAACTTGACAGCAGTGGTTTTTTTAAGCAAAAGGCAAAAATGCTCAGGATAGATTAAAGACAGAAAAAACAACTATTAATGCACGGCTTAAAAGAGACGCATCTAAAATAAGGATATAAAAATATGGGAAGTAAAAGGATGGATAAAGATACATCATGTAAACAACCAAGAGAAAACTGGTACCGCTTCAGACAAAGTAAACATTAGGACAAAAATCATTACTTGAGGTAAAGAGTATTTTCATAACAATAACTGTCAATCTGCCAGAAAGAGAAGAACAATTCTAAACTTGTATGCAATAAATAACAGAGCCTCAAAATCTATAAAGCAAAAGTAAACAGAAAGAAGAGTTAATAGATTAATCCACAATTTGGAGATTTTTAACTCAACTTTCTCAAGAACTGAGAAGACAAGCAGAACAAAAAAGTCAGCGACGCTGTTGAAGATTTTAACACCATGATGAGCATGCTTGACATATTTGTAGAGAACACAATAGGCAACACCTGCAGAGCACACAGTCTTTTCAAGTACACATGCAACTGTCACAAGAACTGATTATGTGCTGGGCTGTGAAACAAGTCTCAACACATTTCAAAGGTCTGAAATCACACAGAGTATGTTCTCTACCAGTAATTAAGCCGGAAAAAAACACGAAATGGTTTACTAGAAAATGCCACATGTCTGGAGACTCAGAAATATACTTCTAAATATCCCACGGCTCAAAGAAGCAATTAAGATGGAAAACAGAAACGATTTTTAACCGATTTCCAAAAGTAATGCGATAATGTATTTTAATTTCTGGCCTCAGAGGACAGCCAGTTTAAGAAGCTAACTTTTCACTTTTTAAAATTTTGCTACCTTTTACTTTAGAGACATGGAAGTCAGCGCTTTCTTTTCTCATGCCATTCTCTTTCACTGTCCTCGCTAACAAAACTCCAAAGCTAACAGGTCCACGATAAAAATGACATTATGTCCACAAACAAAAGTGATCGCTGTAGAACGGCAGTCCCTGCTTGCCACCTTAGTGCTGTCGCCCAGTTAACAGAGGCATTCAGCAATAGCAAGGTTATCCCACTTGACAATGCAGGCAGACTCGGGGCGCCTGACAGCAATTACCCAAATTGTCAAGGCTGCTAGGATGATGACGCGGCCTTATTCAGCTCGCCACCGAGAGGACCTTTTAGAAACACTGCAACTGCTCCCCGTCAGAGCCCAAAGGAGGCCTGCGTGCCAAACACATCAAGTGGGAATAAGCTGGAACATTCTGGTAATGCCTAGCTGACCAGCCTTTGGAAATGTCCCTGGGACAGCCTTCTAGGTGGTTACCGGGGTCTGAAGGATACCCCAGAGGATGCCACTCCTTCCACCTAGCCTTCCAAAGGGAGAGGCTGGCCATATTCCTTGGGGTTAGCTACACGTAATGTAATTACTCAAACAACACGGAGTTTCTGGCTTTTGGTGCTGTTCTATGGGAAGCGTACTTTTTTCCTATAGCGACCTAGGTGCCAAATGACAACGTGCAAGCTCTAATTCATCACCTGAGTCAAAAACAGCCAATTTAATTTGTTCCAACGGCGAAACAACCACAGATAAAAATGCTACCCCGGGCGGAGCTGTGCCTGCCAAGTTTTGGCTGAGAGCTAGCTTCTGTGACTGCTGGTAAACTGGAGAAATTACAAGTTAATAAGGAAAAACAATGACAACTGTAATTAGGCTTGCAGCACACACTGCACCTCAGAGCTGTTTGCCAGGGTCTGGCTGAAAGCGCTCCTGAGTGCTGACGTGGATGAGCGGGGCAGGTGGGCGGGCGGAGGACAGCTATCTGGGCCTCAGCCCCAGGCCGGGTACTCACCACCTCCGCGGCCTTGTCCTAAGTGCTCTGCTGACCCTCCGGGAGCCCTCAGGGTCCCGCGGTCACAGACCACCAGTCAGGGGGCTCACAGGGGCGGCCGGGCAGCCCTCTGCCCCTCCCTCTGCCCCTGACGCCATGCCCACCACAGGGAGTGTTTCTAGACCTGCTAACTACGGGATGAGGGCAGAGGGGCCCGTGGGCGGCACTGGAACTGGGCCAGGGGTGAACCAGGAACCCAGGCCCGTCATCTCCCAGCTCCGGTTTCTCCCCATGCCAAGCAACAGTCTCTGACGCCTACACCTGCCCAGCCTTGGAATTCAGTCCACTCTCCACTGGGCAGACACAATATCACGGGGCCAAGAAGTGGGAAGAAATGATGGTGTACAAGGACACAGGGCTGCAGCAGAGGGCACTGCAGCCAGCTCTTGGAAGGACTTCCTCACTGTGGGGGCTGTCACTCCTGGAGTGGCTTATCCTGATGCCTTGGTTGGTGGGACCTGGCCCCAGGGCAGAAGAGGAGGCTAGTGGTAAAGGCAGCAACTTCCTGTGTCAGAGAAGGAGGGAGGAAGGCAGGGAGGGAGGAAAGTGTGGAGGGACAGAGG